ATGCTGTGGGAATTACTACGGGGACTTTCAGCCCTGGATTCCCAGTTGGGTGCCAAACCTAAACTGGGACTGCAGCCAGGATTTTTCACAGATAGCTGATATCCTGAGATCACCCCATGCTGGAGCAGGGATCCTGCAGGAGCGCAGCAGGGAGTCACAGTGAGACCAGGCTGCGCATGGGCTTGCAGCCAGCCCAGCTCCTGGCTGTGGATCCCAACAGCCTTCCTCACCCGTCCCACAGAGCTCTGCTGCACTGGGAACAGCTCTCAGTGTGCAGCGTCGTCCTCCTTTTCCTTCCTAGACTCAGCCTTTCCCCCACTCCATCACTCAGTGTTAACCACCCCCCTGCTGCCCTGTGGAGGGATTTTGAGAAAACCTCTACCTTTTTGTGCCATCCCGCATGGACTCTGCCCTTAAAGACCCTGCCTCCCTCCCAGTGCTGCCTGGGCTGGCTCTTCTGGATCTACACTGCTATTCAATGCGACAATGAAGTCCCCATTCCATGGAAACTGAGAGAAGACCTTTTCTCGTTGTGAGAAGGTAACATTTAAAGGCATCCCTTGGGCTACTCTATCTGGCAGCCCAGCTGGTGTTCTTTTGTGTGAGTGCCACTCTTTTTAAATGCCAGCTCTGGTCTTAAAGGCAGCCAGCAGAAGGTACAGCTCACTCTCCCTGTAATTGATTCCTCATCACTCGTCACTGGCCTTTATTCTCCCTTTTGATTGTGAAAAAGGAATAATACAGACTACAAGACAAATGCGAAGAGTGCCTTGTATGGGGAGAGGTAACAACAGGATTGCTGGTGTTCTGGGATTTCCCTTGTGTCTGTCTGTCTGGTCAGCTGGAGAGATTTTGCAGCACATAGATAGCCTATCTTTGTGTGTGCCTCACCAGCAGATGCCCTTAGGAAATGCCAGACATATCGGATGGGGGAGATGGGGAAGGGGCAACAATGACAGAAAAAAACTGGCCAGCTGGATTTCAACTCTGATACAGGAAACTAGGCACGATTGTAGTATAAAACCAGGCACAAGGGGTGGCTGCAACAGCTGGCACTGGAGAACATCCCAGATGGGCCTTTCACATCTCCTTCATGACTGATGGAGTCATGGGGGTTAGAGAGCAGGTCCCACCTTGGTTCTTCTCCAGTTTGTGATCACTGGAAAGGCAGAAGAGCTCAGGCACTTCTGTTACCTAGTATCTTCTTGCTCAGGTCTTGTAAAATGTTTGCTATGTTTCTGAGTTTCTCTCTGAGTGAGTGAGTGTTATTATCCTTCTTATCATCATCATATCATGTCAGCACGTAAAAGCAGTTTACTAAGGATCACATGGCAAGTCAGTTCACAGCTGTGAACGGGCTCCTCACACCCCACACATGTGGATTGTGCATTGGCCACCTCCTGCAAAGTAGGTGGATATATAATCTGTTCTCTAGGAGGGGCACATTACACACAACTTGTAACTTGAACTTGTGTGACATGCTGAAAGAAACACAGGGAGTGAAGGTAGCTAATAAGGCATGAGATGGTTATTGTTAGATTGCAGGGAGGTGGGTGTGGGCAGGTGTCAATTCACCAGAGGCCAGGAACTATGGATGTCAGTATCTGCTTAGGCTCCATCTCCCTTTTTAGCCTGAGCCTTTATGGATTTTCATGACTGTAAGTGGGATCCTGCAACAACGTTTGATTTTAGGGCAGTGGGCTCAACCTAAAGCTTTCCCTTGGAAGATACAAAGCCCTGCAGCACTTGTTCCATCACACAGTTGGCTTTTGGGGCCAGTCTGAAAAATGGAGATAAAGAAGCTCTGAGTGATTGGAAAGATGACTTGGAGCTTTCTGTAGTCCAGGACTGCAGTGTTTTATGGCTCTGTCTGGAGCTCAGATCTGAAGATTCATTTCCAAGTACCTCCATGACAGGCTACCTGCTCTTAAACTTGACTGGCAGCCTCTGGCAGACTGACACATGGTAGAAGGGAATAAAGTAGAAGACCTGCACAAACCTTAACATCTACAACACTGTGGACCCAGTTCAGCTGGGATAGAGGTTTCATCCCTGTTTAGTTTGAAGTCCTAGAGTCTCTGCCATGTCTCCCAGAAGCACATTCCCTGTGACAGCATTACTGGGAAAGGGAGGTGGTTTAGTTCTCTCCCAGCCTCAGAGAGACTCTGTAATTTAGAAGGGATTGCAGATAGGGCTGTGAAATCTGATTCCCCTTCACAACTCTCCCTGATTTGTAAGACAGTTGTGAGCATACTGTTTCTCTGTTTTGACCTTCAGTTTTCCATGTGTAGACAAGGGTGGTGAAACACTGCATGTTGTGGGCAGATAAGAGAGCTTCCTTTCCAACCGCAAACCGTTTCAAGAATGCCTGCTCTATTCAGTGTTGTTCTGTTAGGGAATTCCAGGGCCAAAAGGCTGAAACATTTTTCCTGATGCTGCAGGGACACGGAGCTGTCAGCCAGGATGTGCTCAGGCTTGGTCTGGGTTTAGGCCAGGCATTCACAGCCAGTGGTTTGGGGGCACTAGTTTGCATTCCAGATGTTTCTCTGGGTCTCTTTCAATCTCGCCTTCACTTTTTCCTAGGGCGTCAAAGTTCATTTGCTGCCTGATTTGTCCCAGTGCTGGCTACTCAGCCAGGCTCTTGCATGGCAGATCCTAGCTGCAAGTCCCTAAATGAGGGTAGAATAGACAACTTGGTTTTAATCCTTGCTTGCTACCAGCTTCATATTAATTCTACATTCACACTCAATCCCTCAGCTCACCAGCTCTGGCAACTGTAATTAGCTGCTCTGAACACACGACATTGATCCTCTTAACATTGATCTATGGGGTTATGTAGTTCCTGTGTGGGCCATCAGTTCGGCCAAGGGTCTCCATGAGGACTAGGTATCCTCCTTAGAGAGACTTGTAGGCAGCTCCTGAGAGCAGGGAGGACACCAAGAAACCAGCGGCTCAAAGCTAGTTTTGCTGGAGGCTCTCATAGTGACTTCTCTTGTCCTTGGCACTGTGTTTCCAGGAGGGAGATCCCACCATCTTACCTCCATCTCCCCAAGGTTGTTCAGTGCCAGCTGGTCTCGAGAGAGAAAAAAACAAGTTAGTTCACTCCTTATCTTGAGTTGTAGTATGCATCCCAATCTGGGTACTACCAGGGAAGGGAATTGGGTACGCGCTCCCTATCCCATCAGGCCTTCATCCAGTTTTCTCAGCTAGCCTTAGTGCTGACACTTCTGAATATTTCCAGTCAATAACATGCCCCTCTTCCCTCATTTCACTAAATTATACACATATTTCATTCTTTTAACCTTTTCTTGTAAGTCAGCTACTCAGAATCTAAACATTTCATCATCTTTATTATGCATCTCTGAACTCCCTGTGATGTGTCTCTTGCTTTCTGACAGCCAAGCGCTTGACAGGGGTACTTCCAGGTCCCTGTCCTTCACACAGTGCCCCCAAGGATGATGTGCCAAGATTGAGGAATTTCAGGGGATTGTGTAGGAGGGCAGTTAGGTAGGAAAGTTTCCTTCCCTGTCTCTTCCCCTGACCTCTCGCTGCAGCGTCTCAGAAGGGCATACCCTGGTGGGAATGCAGCATCCCAAGAGCAGACAACGGACCTATAAGTAAGGGTTATTATTGCCTCTCTGCTCTCAGGTGTAATATGTCTGTGTATGGAGACCAGAAACACTGATGATCAACAGCGTGACTAGAGTTGTGATTGATTTTTTTGGTTTGCCAGCTGAATTGGAAAAAAACAAAAAGATAAAAAGTGTTTCAGGTCAACCCTGAGTGAATGTTTTTCACTAAAACGAAAAAGGAAAAAAGTCAGCTAAGGACATTACTAAAATATGCTGCAGGAAGACAAACTGACATGGTTTCATTTGTGGGAGGAGGGTAGGGGGCTGTGACACTGTTTTCAAAGTGAGAACTGCAAATGTTTTGAGATATGTTGGCTTTGTTTTAATGGCAGATGAAACCTTTCAGGAATTGCTTTGTTTGAAAGAACTTGAAGTCGATGTTGATTCACAAGGTCTTTGTGTCCCTCTGAAAACATGGGGCTGGGATGATAGAGGCAGTGTGGTACAGGCGATGCTGCCCAGGGCTAGCAAAGAACGGCTGCTCACTCCAAGGCTGCTACCAGGGCAAGTGGCAACTGAGAACACAGGTCATATTTCTGCAGCTGATGGCCAGGGCCGGGGCAGGGAGAGGGCTGTAATCTGCATAGCATGCATCAAGTGTTAGTAGTGAATGGGCAGACACATGTCCTGGGCTCCCCAGTTCAAGTGGGATGTAGAGAAGCTGGTGTGCGTCCAATGGAGGGGCATCAGGATTATCAAGAGCCAGGAGCAGAAATCCTGGGTAGAGAGACTGTGGGAGCTTTACTTACTTAGTCTGGCAAAGAGGAGATTGCTGTCAGCCCTTGGCCCCCCAAATGTCTGAAGGGAAATTTCAAAGATAATAGAGCCAAAATCTTATCAGTACTATTAGACAATATAACAGGGAACATCAGCCACAGTTGGTAGCACTGGAGGTTCATATTGGACATTAGGACAAATTTATTTTCTCAAGGTATTTCAAGACTTGGCCAGGCAAAGCCATGCTGCCCTCATATAGAGCTAGAGACAGCTTCAAGCAGGAGGTTGGATGGAATGCTTCTGGAGGTCCCTTGCAGCAAGCATTTATGTCACTCCTTTCTTGTGCCACCCCAGCCATGCTACAGACTGCTTCTTCCTTGTCCTGTCCTCTCTGTCTTCATCTGGGTCTATGTTCTCCCTTGGATAGCACAGATGGATGAAACACTGACAGTAGCACTTGTCCATCAACCCAGGAGAGAGCTGGCTCCATCCAGAGGTTACTGCTGGGGCTCTGCAGGCTGTCCCTGGGCCAGCTGGGGCATAGAGCTGTGGCTCGAGGCTGAGCCCCAGAGCTACATTGGGGACCAGCCCAGCAGGTGGGGTTGCCTGCCTGCCCCCACATGCCAGATCCCTGTTTCTGTAATCTTACAGGCTCCTTGAACCTGCTAGTTCGCGTGCGGAACAAGCGAGCCATTGACACCCAGGTCTGGTCGCTCAGTGGGAACCGGGGGAACATGTGGCAGCAAGCACACGTGCCCATCAACCCGCCCGGGCCCTTCCAGGTAAGTCAGGTCCACAGCCAAGGAGCCACTTGCTCCCTGTCCTGCCCATGTTCCATGGGCTGTAGGAGACTTCCCAGCAGACATCTACCCCTGTGGCACAGGGGCTGGTCAGGCACAGGGAGGGCTCTGGGACCTCTCCACCCTCAGAGTCACTGGGGCAAGGCAAGAGCTTGGTGGATGCACAGAAATTAAATCCACTTTTCTCTGAAGCCATCCAATGTTGTTATGTGCAAGCATCAGTTTGGCACTATAAATTTTCTGATTATTGCTGGTCTGGAAACTGCTTGTTGAGGAGTTCTTTCTGGTACCAGGTCTGTGTGACAGGTCTCTTGGTGCTGAGCAGCTGGGGGATGCTGGCCTGCTGGTGTAAAGTGACGTTGAGTGCTAGAGGTTTCTTCTAGCATGTGCTGCAAGAGCCAACCCCCACTGTTCCCCTGGTTTAGGACTATAGGACACCTTGTGAGTATGAACTGGACATTCTGTATCTGCTCATGGAGTCATTTATGCGTACCCAAGAAGTGGGCTGCTTTGTTACTGGATGGTTTTTTTGCTGATGGTTTTGCCCAACATGCTACTTTGCTGTTGTAGGGTTGTTTGTGAGAGCTGAGTCTATGCAGGCTGGTAAGTTGTGGCACTGTGGCAAAATGCCCAGTGTGCTTTTGGGTAATTTAGTTACTTTTGGGAGCACTGTTCAGTATTGGTTGATTTTTTAGTGCAGCACACTTAATAAAGCAGAGCTCTACATGCTCATTTATTGCTCTACAGACGCTCAGCACACAGGGGTTGGTCCCGTAAGCAGTGGGGTCTGGCTCCAGATCCTATGAATACTGGAGAAACAGGAAGGAACCATTCACTCGGGGACCTGCTGAGATCTGGTCTGTGCCCTGCTCACCTCTGCAGAGCCCTGCTGCGCGGGAAGGGTCCTCCACAACTGCAGCCTCACGCTGGGCTCTGTCCCATGCTCTGCTTGTAGATCATCTTCGAAGGTGTCCGGGGCACGAGCTATGAGGGGGACATTGCCATCGATGACGTCACTCTGAAAAAGGGGGACTGTCCAAGGAAGCCAATTGGACCGAATAAGGGTGAGAGTGTGCATGCCTCAGAGGAAAACGAGTCAGTGGGAGTACATACATGAATGCATACACTAGGGATGCGCAGCTCATTTCAGAGCACATTGACATGTTGGTGGGACTCTACAAGATGGTTGACTCCATCAGCATAAGTCAGCAGAGGGGCTGGCAAATTTGTCTTACTTATTTTTGAAGGAAAAAAATCTCAAGGAAGTGTCACTTTCAGCAATTTTGTTAGCTTCAAAGGTGAAGAGGGAAACAAAACATCAAAAAAGTTAGAACACCCTAAAAATATCAACATTTTGGGTGCAGTTAAAGGTCGGTTTCAACCTAGAATGGCCAAGCTGTAACCAAAACACAAGCAGAACTTCTTGTTTGACTCAAGTTGAATCTTCTGGGGAAGAAAGGAGAGTTGGATTGCAAAAATAACTAAGATTCAACCTTTTCTCCTGAGTTAGAAAAGAAATAATTTTGGGAAGCCTTGAGATTGTCCAAGGAAGGCTAGAAAGGTCTTCTAATAGATCTTGGGAGGTGGTTCGGGGTGGGAGAAGAGGTTAAGACACTGATGTGCACTGATTTGTTTGATGAGGTCAAGATCCATCTCATCACTAATTCTTTTTGTCTCTTCTTGGCTGACAGCGGTTGCTCTTCCAGGAAGCGGTGTCCTGACCCTGCACAGCCCTTGTCTTTGTGGCCCATTGACTTTCTTCCTTTACGTGCTGCTCAGATGATGGCAAGTGAGCGCTCCTGTCTTCGGATCAAGACATTCCTGCTCCTTTCCTACTCGGCCACCTCTGCTCCTCTTCCTCCCCTCCTCACTGGCACACCAAAGTGTCCATATGTTACCAAAGACTGACAGGCATGACCACACAAAGGGATCTGGTTCAGAACTGGAGCACTCCTTGAGAAAGTCATAATGTCTAGAACAAAATTAAAAAATAAAGACAAATTTTTTTTAAAGCACGTGCACGAGAGAGAGTGAGAGAGAGAGGAAGGAAGGAAACAAACAGAAACACGCAGAAAAGAAGGAATGAAAGACAAAAAAACAGGAATGAAGAAATGAGAAGAGCAAATGAAGGAGGAAAAAAAACACCCTCATATTTCCTTGGGAATGTCAGACAGGACTTCCTCAGGGAAGTGGGAACTTGTTTTAAACAAACAAAAATATATTAAAGCACAAATTTCTACCAGAACAGTTACCTTCTTTACTGCAGACCCCACAGCTTAGTGGATGATATCCCGCAGTACTCCCCTTGTCTCCCCATGCTTTCCCACTGGCTGGGGCTGTCCCACTCTGGCTGCAGCTCCCTGCAGTAACGCCAGCCTCGAGCGTGGGGTAGCAGCTGCCCTGCGTGCCAGTGGCTGGAGCATCTTCCCTCGCACCGCATGTGCTTCGGTGTCTCCATCCATCCACATCTTCCAGGCTCTCATGTATTTAATTGCCCCCTGCGTGGTTTGCTTTGGCCTTTCCCCACCGCTCTGGGCTTCTCACCCGTCAGCCTGAAGAAGATGGAGCAGGAATGGACCCATCACATGGACCACGCTGAGTGGTGGAGAAGTCCCGGCTGGATCCGGCTGCAGTGTTGGGCTCTGGGCACCTCTTTCTCTCTCTCAGCCCTCTTGCTGGGTAAAGAAACTATAAGAGCAGGTCTGAGTTGCAGAGAGAAAGGTGTTTCTGTGGGGCTGAGCAGTGGGGCAGGCTGGGGTGGGAAGGGAGGACAGTTGGACATTGGCTTCCCCCTGTGAATGCTGGGATGACTGTCGCCTCAGCCCTAAGCCCAGGATTACTTCTCTGCCTCTCTTTTGTTACCTATTAATTTTGGTCTTTTATTCCATTGTTTAACTTCCCCCACCTCAAGCTTTTTGGATTATGGGAAGAGTTATGCATTTAAACCTTCTTGAGCCAGACAGTGGGTCCTGTGCCCATGACCCAGCCCCTGGGCCAGCAGTTCAGGCAGCTGCGATACTGCTCTCTCACCTTCTGAGGCCTTTTAGCATGCACCGTGCATTAGCTGAGGAGTGGGCCAAGTGTGGCAACAGCATTGCTGCTCAGGGGAGAGGGGCCTGAATTCTGTCAGCACGTGGAGTCCTGCAGGCACTCAGCTTCTACTGCCAAAGCAGTGGGCAGAGGAGCTGAAAGGTGGAACAGGCAGGAACAAGCCCCAGGAAGGATGAAGATGGGAAGCTTGACCCAAAAGAGGGGCTTGTGCTGAACTGTGGCCCCTTCTGTCACTGGGGAACAGGGATGGGGGAAATTCACCTTGTTCCTGCTGGCATCATGAAAGGGTAAAGCTGGTGTCTCTCTCTCTGCTGCAGACCTGCAGCAGGTCTGGCCTGACTTCCTCAGGGTGGAGGCATGTGCTCCTCCAGATGAACCCCCAGGAGAAGGGTCTGCCCTGCACCAAACAAGTAAGAACTGTGATAGCCTTGTTGCAACTGGAAGCAGCTCTGGGCATGACTTATTTCCCTGCACAGGGCAGAGTTATCCCCAAAAGGCTGTGAACTGGGTTTTACTAGCCCATGCTCTGGCAGTTCAGTTAAGTGGGACTCTTCCCCTTAAGGGACACCCCATCCAAACTCCATATCTGGGGCACCACAGGTGTATGATGAGCTAGCTCTCTCACCACATCCCCCAGTACCCATGGCTTCTTACCCATTTCTGATTAATCTATCATCTTCTCTGAGACAACTGTGTTTGCCTAAAATCACCTGATTGTATTAGCTGCCTCCTGCATTGCTCAGCTTCCAGCAATGGCTGGTGCCTCATTTCCTCCACAGGTGGAGGGGGAAGAGTCCTTAACTCCCAAGAGATCCAGTTTGAAGTCTTGAAACCCATCACTCTATAGCTTTTGGAAGGGCATTCATCTGCAGTAATCCTCCCCAGCCACCATCAGAGAGAGAAAAGACATCAGCTCTGAGGGACAAGGGGACCTCCTTCACAGGAGGCCTCGCAAGACAGTGAGAGGGGATCTTGCAGGTCTCCCTTGCTCCTGTTGCTTTTCTCCACTTCCAAGAATGAGGACTATGTCTTTTATCTCTCCGTCCCTCTCTCCAGAGCCCAGACCTCAGTCACGCTGCATATTTGCTCTGGAGACCTGTGGCTGTTTCCCAGGGCCAGGCAGTGCTGTGGGATGCTGTGGGTGCCAGCAGTGATTCTGCTTCTTAGTGTCTGTTGCCATTTTCATGGGCAGCTAGTGCTACCATTATCTTTCAGCTGAGTTCTTTCAGTCCTATGCTGTTCCTTTCCACCATGCTTGTTGGAAGCCAGAAGTCATCACCCCACTCCTGTTAAAAGTCCACTTTCACTCCTAGGAGAGAGACAGTGCTTTCCAGGGGCCCTTGGGTGCTTCGTGATGGCTCCTGATCTGTCAGTGGCAAAATATTTGTGTTACATTGCTGATTCAAGGAGGCTTCTGCTGGGCAGAAGGTGGAGAGAGGAGCATTTCCCCATCAGTAAGAGATAGCCCAGCACAACCATCTCACCTTCTAGGCTCTGAGGCAGAGACCCTTGTGGCCTTGCTTCTACTGGCTGCTTAGCCAGGGTTGCACAAGCACGTTTTGCTGATGTTTAGTGGGCAGCAGAGGTGCTGTGGGACTGGGGAGGTCCAGCCTGAAGGTTCAGGATCATGGAAAAAGCATTATCTGTGAGGCAAGTGTCAGCAAAGGGACACCATGTTTTTAGAAAGGGACACCTGCATGGAGGGTGTCCATGCCCTGCTGCCAGCTGCTGCGAGGAAGGATGTAAGTGCCTCACCAAGGTGACCCATGGCACAGGGGGTAAAGAGCCCGTTGGTGGCAGTGGGTCCAGGGCAGAGCAAGCAGATTGCCCCAGCCAGAGGTGAAGCCTTCTCCTGCTGTCAGGCATGGGCCCATCAGCTTCAGTAAAAGTCTCAGGGAGCCCCTTCCCACTTCAACCTCTGCTCCTTTATCTCTGGCTAGAAAGCCGCTAGTGGTGAGTTCGGGGGAAAGTCATTAACCCAAGTGCCTCAGCTTGTCAGAAGTACCGAGGACTTCATTTCCCTGGCAGATGCGCTGAGAAAGTGTAGCAGAGGAAAGAGGCACTTCAGCAGCAAGGATGAGAAGCTGTGTAATGATGGGGTCAGAGTGGAGTCAGCGTCCCTTCTCTCTGAGGGAAGTGGTATTTTTGGTTTACTAATGCTTCCCATGCTTGAGGGGGCAATTCTCCTTGCAGTGGTGCTGCATCCCAGGTGAGGTATAAAGCCATGCTCCTTACCCCTTGCAATTACAGATCCCTTCACACTTTTCACAGTGTTCTGGCTAAATTACAGTCCTTAAACATAATTACAGACTGTCTTCTTAAATATGTGTTGCAGTCCCAACATTATGTTTCTCTTCCTGATGTTTTATGTTGCTCTGTGCCTATCGAGTAGCTGCTTTATTCCGCTCCAGAAGTGGCTGCATTTCAGTGATGGTGGAGATTATTCCTGTACATAGTATGAAAGTCCCTGCAGAAGAAAAGTGCAATATAAATTTAAGAGACTGCTTTTATTTACAAGGAGACCTCTGCTTGGTAGTTGTAGAAATACATTAGAAAGAATGCTGTGTGGGTGTTAGCCGATATATACTCGATTTCTTTTTTTTTTTTTTTTTTTTCAGGGTATAAAACAGAAAATATGTGAGTGTGCAGGCTCCTGGGTATAAGTTGTAGATACTGGAAGTAGTGAATGCTACTGTGTCATTACAAGTGGGGCTTACAAAGAAACTTTCATTTGAAACCTCTTTTGATAGTTGTTGTATTCTGAAAAATATACGTTTTTAATTATAATTTTCCACAGTTCAGTGCAAGTCCCAGTAACAGGTCATCAGCAGGACTTTAATCCATGGCTTTTAACAATATGAACATCAATTCATACTGCTTGCTCTGAAATGCAACTCCTGGCTGGTAATAGACTATTTTCCTTCCACATAGATCAGCCACTGGAAAGCGATGGAGCTAATATGTTTCATTTGATGTGGAGTTAAGTAATTTGGAACGCCTGAGCACAACTCTTCCCAGCCGCATGGGAGTGAAAAAGCGTTTCATCTATATGAAGACTTTGCATAGTGAACAAATGGTTCAGAAACTCCTAAAGTGAAGTGTTGTGATTGGCATGCATGCAGAGCAGCCCCAGCAGAGCTGCACAACGTGCTGCCTGAAGAGCAGCTGTAGCAGCAGCGATATGGAGCCTTTCTTCTGGGAAGTAATTTTCTTCTGGAAGGAAATAGGGTGGCAATCAGGGAAGAAATAGGAGGGGTTTCAGATGCTTAGGCTGGTAAATTTATTGAAAAAGTAACTTACAGATGTATGAATGAGTGTAGTAAACATGATACAAATTGTATTTTATTCCCTTTTCCTATTGAAAGTACAGAAATTTTAATTTCTTTCTATATGAAATCCTATGGGTTCAGTAGTCCAGAATGACACGAAAATGCTATAGTACCAAAAGGAGAGCAGGGTTTGGATTCCTCCTCCTCAGCCCGTCCCTATCACTCTGTGCCAGGAAAAGCATCCTGCTTTTGGGTTGGTGCCCTGCACTTCTCAGTCTGGGAGGGACAGTCGCTGGGAGCAGCAAGCGGTTCTGGTGCTTGCTGGCATCCCTCCACTGCACCATCGCTGCTCTCAGCCTTGTCTCCAGCGTGAAGCAATCCTTGTGCAAGGTGCTGGCAGAAGCAAGCCCTGCTCTCCCCTAGCTCTCAGCAAGCTTGGGGCAGGGAGTTTTACCTCTGGGAATAGTCAGGGGGTCCTTCACTCTGCCCTGATGGATCCCACCTGCCCCAGGCAGTGACAAAGGAACCAGATGGAGTAAATGGTGTCACCCCACGCAAACAGACAAACTTTTGCCTTAAAGCAGAAAGCTCAGGGAGTTGCTGCTTCAGGGTGTTGCTGTCCCCATCGCCTGTCAGAGCCATGAAGATATTCATCTTTCCCTGGAAATGCTGCAGCACCTCTTTGCCTCCTGGGTGCCTTTGGATGGCCTAGCAACATCATGGAGGTACACACCAGTGTGAGCTCTGTGCTTTAAGCTGCATGCGGTGGGACACTATACCACAGCACCAAGCAATGCCCAGTTCTTGCACCCAGGGAGTAGGACCCTGCTTTTCACTGAGGACAAGAAGTTACATTATGAGTCTCTCCTGTGCAAAAGAAAGGGCTTCTCACACTCCTGGCTTTGCCACAGACCAGTTTTGGTCCCTCGTTCTTTCTCCATTAAACCACCCTGACATCTTGTCTTTTCCAGGCTGCACTCAATGCAGGTGTACGCTTGTTTGTAGAGGCAACAAGCGTACAGCAGCAGGACCCTGTGTAGCCTTCAGGAAAAGGCAGGTGTGGGTGCCATTTGTATTTGCTTTGGCCCCACTGATAACTGCTCATCCCATTCAGCCTGGGAAGACATTTAATGCATACAGAAAGCATTTGCAGAAAAATAAGTGCTGGAGAGCTCTGGAAACTGCATTTTAACAGGACCCAATTTACACTTTGTGGTAGTAACTGGCAGCTGGTGGTTTCCAGCAGGGAGCTGAATGTCCCCGGCATCCCAAATGATAGCTGTGATATATATGTGTTTTTCAGTATTCCCGTTGGGAGTAAGACACACGACAGTTTGGCTCACGGTCGCCACCACCTAGCCCACCACAGGGGGATGCTGGGGTCTTCTCATGACTACTTACAGCCTGGTATGGTCACATTAAACCAGAGACAGTCACGTGTGCCCTGGAGGCCTTGAACATCCCAAGGAGAACTGCAGGACAGCCCAGGGCACCTTCACCCAACCTTGCCTTTCCAGAGAGGGACGGGATGCAGCTTGCAGGAAACTGTTGTCTCCAGGACACCTCTTGCCCAATGGAAGAGCAGTACCATCCCGCTCCACTTGGGCTGAGTGAGATGTGTGCATGATATCTAGACCCTGGGTTGGGTATAGGGTACATGCTCAGTTGCTTTGCCATTAAGCGTCCTTCCTCAAAAAGGGGGAGAGTTCCAAAGACGGACAGCACGTTAGCAAGATCACCATGTCCCTGTGCTGTGTAGCTGCAGGGGATGGAGGGCTCAGTCCCACTGAAGTGCCTCTGGCACTTGTTAACGCTCTGCATCACTGAGATCTGGTTTGGCATCTTCTCTATCTTGCTCTTCCCAGCCCTGGTACAGCCTGAGGGGCTGGTGGGGCTGCCTGGGTGGCAGTTGTGGAGCAGGAACACAGGAGCACTTCAGGGTATGTGTTGGCTCCATCAGGGACCTAGTGTGAGTCACATCCTGACTTCATAAGAGACAAAAGAGGGCTCACAACAGTCTCATGGGTGGCTGAGAGGATAGAACAGAGCTTGTTCATGTTCTTGAAAAGGTGAGGGGAAAGATGAGCTCCATGCTATATTGCCCTTCATTTCACTGGTGGCAGGTAGCAGGCTCGGACCTGCAACTGCTCAGATGCTAGGCAACGGAGACTAAAGAAGAGTCCTTAGGCCACATTTCCCAGTTGGACTTGTCCTAGTAAAATGTGGCAATCCATCACCAGATCCTCAGCACATCTGTGCATGAAGAAGCCAAGCAACCCACTGTGCTTGTATGGGTGATCCCTCGGGGAAGCTGCAAAGGTGGGTAGCGCTTGGGTCCCAGCACACAAGCGCTGCCTTTCCCTCTGCTGCCTTTCATGGTGAGGGTTTTCCGGCATGGGGCACAGAACAAGGGAAGGGGAGATGGAGAGATACTGTCTTTGCTGGCAGCAGTTGGAAAGGTAGAGCTGGGTCAATAGAGGGTTTTCTAGAGAGCTGTGAAGGTCTGTGGTAAATCCAGGTTTCGCATAGATTTGGTATGGCCTATAAACCATTTGCTCCTGTGGAAGGAGGCAAAATTTTGTGCTTCCATTAACTGTTGTCCTGAAGGGAAATTTGGCTATGAATGCTTGACTTACAGTGGGATTTTTTTACCCCCAGTGGCCTAAACTCAGCATATACAGGGGCAGCTGGATAGCCCTCACACAGTGCTGGTGACCCCAGCAGTGCTGGCACCCAAAGCTCACAGCGCTGGATGTGCTTTATGCTGTAATGTCCAGGCCCTTGCTTGAAGCACTGGGCCAAGTGAAGGGTACCTGGCTGCTCTACAGCCCTGCATATGTCCTGTCTACCAGCCAAGTCTGCAGGAAAATAAAAGACATGCTACTACTGCTAGCCAGCGGAGGTCTGCTTTGACTGAGGGAACTGGGCTCTGATTCTGCCATTTAGGCAGTAAAGTCGCTTTCAGTTGCGTAAAACCCAGCTGTTATAATGGAGAGTTACTCCTAGATGTTCACATGGTTGCATAACTATGGTATGTCTCAGATAATCAGCAAAGGCAGGCCCTGGGTAGGAGCTGGAACATACCAGATGTCGGCAGTCCTGCTTGGCCACTGTGGGTGAGCAGTGACTCCTTTGCTCTCAGCGTTAGAGCTGCTCAGGGCACAGGCTGAGCCTAAACCAGCCAAGAGCGAGTGCAGCCCCACTTCCCTGTCTGCATAGCAGGCACCAACTGGCTTTCTTTTGGTGACTGTGATATATAATGCGGCACTAAGATGAAGCTGTCTCCTTGCCCTGTGTAGGTCCAGCGCTGGTAAGGTGTCTATCTTAGCAGCTTGTAAAGGGAACAGAGCTGAAAACTGAGATGTGTGTGTGTTGCAGCTGCCAGCAGTGCAGCAGGGAGGAAAGAGGACTTGAAAGCCCCTTTTGCAGGCAGCAGCATTTCCAGCCAGTCCCCACCTCTCCCTTCTCCTGCTATCCACACTCCAACCCTGAGCACCCTCCAAGGTGGGGAATTTTTATATATCTTGTTTCAATGGTCCTTGTTCTCAAGAACCAGCTATGGGTATCAATAAACAGAGCAACAGCCAGGAGAGGCCGTAGCAACATAGTCAGCTCAGACGGTGCCTGATGTGTGGTGAGAGGAGAAAATTGATTTCATTCTCTTTCTGAAATGCCACGAGGATTGACTGGGGAATAGTATTTAGGTCTTTTATATAGACAGCAGTATGTACCACATAGAAGTTGAGTAATGAGGGACTTGTGAACACTGGAGGTTTCTCTGAGAAAAATCAGATGCTGATGGGGGAAGGTATTTACAGACTGGGAGAAAAGGAGCTTTCCTGTGCATTTATTTGTTATTCCTTTTTCCTGTAGGCCCTGGTATGTAACATCCTGGGACAAGAAAACTGTCTCAGAGTTTGCTGGAGGTGGCCTTTTCCTCTCATCAAACCTTGATTGTCCTTCTCTGCTGCCCATCCCCAGCTTTACCATGCATTGATGTAACCGGTGACATCAATGCCAGGTAAAGTGGCTTATGTCAATGCTTTCAAATAAATGAGATTGTCCTGTTTTCCTCATTCTTGGGATCTTCTGGATTTATCGTCTCACCCCAGAAGGCTCCACAGTATGCATTCTTTTCTCAGGACATTCCCCAAAAGCTGTGGATGCTGCAGATACAGGGTTCTTCTTTGTAGTTTTGGTCACAGCCCTTGCCTGGCAGCATGGAGACAATCTCTAGATGAGCTGGAGAATTTGGTGTCAGCATGGTTTTGCTTGGGTCTTTTTTCCCAGCCAGAACCATCCTGCCTGTTTTGCAGTGCACATAGTGGAGGAAAGGGGCTGTCACCCAATATACAACTGTCTCATGGGGAAGCTTCTGTGGCACCTCCTGCTTCTGGCCAGAAGTGACTGTCAGACAGTATTTCCCACACTCTTCCTCACTCCATCCCCCCACTCCGTATGTATCCTCACCAAGTGTTTCATTTCCAGCCTGGAAACATCAGCAGCAGACTTCATCCCTGGATCCCATAGAAGAGGATCACACCAAAATCCCTTCCTCAGCTTGCAAGGGGCAGGGAGAATCAGCTCAGGCCCAATGGTGAACCACTTCAGTGGGATCCAGTGCCAGTGGGACTATGCCACCCTCATGCTTCCAGGTCGCTGAGGCCAGTAGAAAGTATACTTTGACCTGACAGAAGCGTTTAGAAGCACCTCTCCAAAAGGAGCTACGCAGTGACTCTGTATTTGGGGATACTGTGGAGGAGGGGTGGGTCCTCTGGTGTCTCTTGTTTCTTTTCCCATCAGTATCCTGGGTGGGGACTCTGGGACAGAGCCTCATTCTCCACCCATCTCCCTCATCGCAAACACGTCTTGACCTGTCCCTGCTCCACATCTCGTAGGGTGCCATCACTGTCATCAAGCGGAGCTGGGACCCTCTCACCACCATCATACCAAGCCGTCCACAATGTTAAAAGCACAAACACAAAGGGACTGAACTGAACCTTTTGAACAGGGTGAGATGTTTTATAAGCATTGCCTCATCCATGCCCCTGCCCCAACCCTGACGTACCGTGTAACCTATAGACTCTCAACGTGGATTGTTTCATTCAAATAAAGCTGCAGTACTCAAGTGGATGAGCCTGCGTGTCCCTCTGTGCTGGGTTGGGATGACAAGGTGCATCCTGCAATTTGTGCTTACAGTGGCTGGGGCAGGGAAGAGCTGGTATTGCTGCCTAACACCAAGGTACATGACAGTGTTTGACCCTTGGGTCTTCCAAAAATGTCTGATTGGGTCCCTGGGGAAAGCTTCTCATTTGCTCTCAAACCACAGCATGGCAGCTGAGCGGGCAGGTTTGGGGCATTTAGTGCTGTGGGAGCCTCGTGAAGGGAGCACGGAGTGGGTGGCACAGAGCCCTTCCCTGATGTGCCTTTACCCAAACCTCTCCCTCCCGCCCCAGGCCTGAAGCTATTGAGGCTGCTGGCTCCTGCTGCTGCTAAGCAAAGCCACTCTTCTTCTGTCCCTTGCTCTTGGCCTCTGTTGCAAGGAAAGGAGATAGGGCAGCAGCTCAAAAATTAGTAGATGCAAAACAAGCCAGCAGCGGTGGAATGTCAGTGTGGCACCAGGTCCTCTTGTCCTGGTACTCCACCCTGAGATCTCCAACATGGGGCCAGCTACTCCATGGGCCCATCAGGGAACGGGCAATGCCAGCCATGTAATGTCTAAGATGTTCTTGGGTGAAGGTGTCTTCCCTGTGCCAAGAGTTCTGCAGGGTTACTCAGCTAGAGCCTAAGTAAAAACTGCCTTATCCTAATACTGTGGTTAGAGCAACAGTTAAAAGAACTGGATGTGAGAGCCAAACAGTTTTGTTTTACATGCCACAAGCTGCAATTGTTGGCTGAAGCTCCACAGATGCTAAAATATTAAACCAGCACATAGATACCTGCACTGACTGTGGGCCAGAGGGTCACATAAGCTACAGTCATACCCATCTGCTGGCATTAATGATGCCGAGTCAGTGCCATCTTGAGCTGCCTGGAGAAAGTTTGGGACAGGGCTCAAAGCAATTCAAAAGGATCCTCCCAGCCAACCCAACATTTCTGCCTCCTGTGGTGCCCTCACAGAAAGCAGTTGTGAAACCTACTGGCAAAGCTGATGGCAGTTTCCTTCGGGGGAAAGTAATCATGACTAGCAAATTCTTCCTTTGTTCTCTCTCATATTGAAAATAACTGCTCCAGATGTGAATCTGGAGGGAGCTAGGTACTGGAATTACTGTGGAGGTTCCCATCTTAAAGATGGAAAGTACTATTAAACAAGTACATATATATATATGCAACATACATATATATATATATACATATATAGGCATGCAAATAGTATTCATCTGTCACTTCTGCACAAGTTCAGCTCACCCTTGCCATGCACATGTTGAGACACAGAGTCCAACTCTGCCATGACTTCTCCTCAGGGCCACTCTCCTTTGGCACACATGCCAGAACCACTCTGAGGCTGGGGAGGGGCTGGGCAGCAAAGCAGGCTGAGGTTTGCAGGAACCTGTCACAGGCTGGGAGGTAAATGAGGCAGGGGCAGCTGCCAGAGAAGGAACATGTACTATTGTTAAATATCGCCCAGAGTGCTGGAGTATGCTCCAGCCATTCATCTTTTGTCCTGTCACTTTGTAATTTTAATTAAATTAATTGTTAATGCCACCTGTTCTAGATGTCCCAACACTAGGATCTGCTTTGCAGAAGTACCCACATCATTCGGTGTGTTGTCAGCTATAAAATGATACATAACCTAAAAACATGGGCTCTGGCTCTCTCAATCTTTCAATCACTATTGAAAATTACCTCTGATAATCCAGACATTAGTCTTTAGTTTGTTTTTATGCCTTACACCCCTTCTGCACTCTTTCTCACAACCTACACACTAATATATTCCTGGACTTAATGTTGCAATTCTTCCCTGAGGGAGAGGAGGATGTGCTGACAGATTAGAAACTAGACTGAGGTCCAGGCTGTTCCTGCAAGGTGCTCTGTACTATTGATTGTACAGCTGCTATATCTCAGCCCCTCCTGCATGCACTGCAGACAGCAATATCACCTCCAAAGGTGGAAGCAATGCTAATTTTGTTAAAGCTTGATCACTGGGTATGCCCACCAAAAAGGCCACAAGGGAGTGAGCTGGTTTTGTCTTTGGCTCAGTGATTTGATGCTGTGGAATAAACAAAGCCTGAAGCCAGACAGTGAGTGATGAAGATTGAAAGGAGTATTGACTGCATGCTGAGGTGAGTACAGCCCTTCACATGAAACCTGCAGAAACACTGGTTGTATGGTCATTAAAAAGAGGACCTTAATGCAGATACACAGGGATGCTTCACTGCACTTCTGCAGGCTCCAGGCTGGCTGAATGAGAAAGCACTGGCTTTGCACCATGACGCACGACTTGTTGTTAGGCTCATGTTCCCATGTAGGGCTGCCATGGTACCTGGTGCTTAGCAGAGGCTATTTCCTGCTGTGCCAACACATGAACCCAACTCTCTAGAGTATCTCCCACTCCCTGGGCAGTCAGCAGAGGAGAGGTGCTGCTCCTCCCAAATGGGGACTCAGGAGCATCTTGCAGGGAGGGGTGAGGAACAGAACTGGGTAAAGATGTGGCTGAGAAGGTGCTCCAGGCACTGGGGAGGGTGGAAAGCCACAGAGCACTGAGCTGCAATGGCAGCGACCAGGTTTGGGAGAACAGCTCTGCTTGTCAAGGGGGAGGATAGGAACACTTGTGTGGTTCCCTGCCAGGTATCTGGGGTTGGATATGGGGGTGAGGGATGAAGGGAGGAGGTGCAGCTCTGATCAGTGCAAGGTTGTGCCTCAGCAAAGGCAGGTGCAGGGTACCAGCAAGGCGGTAAGTGTGTAAAAGCAGGGAAGGCAACTTTGCATGCAGTAGGTGCACTGGGTGTGCTACATGCATGCATAGAATTGTGTGTACATGTGAGGACTATGTGAGTGGCAGATCATTTCAGCACATCCTTTGAATCCCTTTTACCCCCATTCCTTTCTCCCCTCAAGTTCCCAAGCAGTTGTGTCTGGCCATGAGTCTATGGCAGTTTCCCAGAGAGAAAGAGAATACTTATGAGCCAAAACTGCAGAAAATGCAACAGTCTGGATTTTAAACATTCTGACCCTGTTATTTTAACAAGACCAGAGGAAAAAATAAATGGTGCTGACTGGAGAGGAAGATTTATAGCTTGTATGACAAGGCCAAGATTTATAAGCAGAACAAAGTGACCTAAAAAGCAGAGAAGATTTAGAGATAAAGGCTGTAGCTACAGCTCACCACAGCAGCATCCCACCAGCCCATGTGAGCCCCAGAGCAGAGGGGGATCATGAGTCTGGCTGGGAAAGCCTTGTCCATGAGCTTGGTGTGCTGGGGAAGGGGAAGATGTGTTGCATTATATTATGCTTGAGTATCTGGGGATGAAGGGGGCACTTCTCTCCAGCTGCCTTTCTCCACACAGAGTCATGCTCTTCCATCATATGGTCACTTATATCCACCACACACACAACCCCAGGAGGGCTCTGACTGTCCCTGACTCCATTCTCCAGCTCTTTTCTCTTAGCAATAGCCCTGTGCTGATGCCAGCTACAGATCTGCTTCTGGGTTTTTGCTCCCCTCAGATCTCTGACCTCTGGGAAACCCTTCTCTCTCCATGGCCTGCCACCAGAACTGTCCTACCTTACATGGGGACAGCCACCTTGACTCCTTTCAGCCTCTTACTCTGCATCTTGACCCTTTGCTGCCCTGAGGACTTTTGATGGGAGGAGACAGAGGGTGCACCCTAGTCCCCAGGGTGGCCAGCTCCTCTGGCCTGCCCTCATGTACCTTGGAGCAGGGGAGAAAAGGGGAGAGCCCACGTCCATGTGGGACAGACATGAGGGAAGAGGACCTCCAGGAGGAGGGCTGCTGCCCACAGCCAAGGCAGGGGGTGACCTGCATCTCAGGGCTTGCGGCTCTGTCTCCCCATGCTGCACCAGGGGCTCAGGATGCTGGACCCCTCCACACCAGCTCCACTACCTTTTAGCATAAGGCAAAATCATTCCCTGCTCCTGCACCTCGGGTTTGGCATGCTCCTCCCCATCACAGAGAGGGAATGGGGATTTATTAGCTAATGACTTCACATCGCCTTGAGGAGAGATAGGCTAGCCAGCACCTGACACCTCACAGCTGGTAGCTGTGGGAGAATGCCGGGCAGGATGACGGTTTTGGCAGCTGGAGCCCAGAGCTGCCCTGTCCATCCCTGCTCCCTGAGGGAACACGCTGCTGGAGAGGGCCAACACTCCCTGGGGTGACAGAGATGGATCAGTCCTCACCCAGGCCAGTGTGTGTGCACAGAACAGGAGCCCACTGGGGCAGGTGCTGACTTTTCCAAGGGAACAGGGTGCTGCATCTCACTTGGCTGCCAGTCATATTTATGTTACAGCTGCATCTTGCCAGAGAGGCAGCAGGTTGGGGAGGGAGCCCTTCATGAAGGCAGCAGTTATAAGGGTTCTGTCTGCTCTGGCCAGTCCAGAGGTGCCCCCAGCAAACCCATGACAGACCCCTACTAAGAGCTCTCAGATGGACACTGCTGTGCAGCCTCTTCTGGGGCAGAGCAAGCCAGACAGGTAAGAGGATGCAGTGATGGTGAGGGTATATGGGATAGTACTGTGCATAAATTCAGCTGTAGGACTGTTGTGCAGATGGTACTGAATCTGTCCTGGAGGAAACTCTGCAAGTTTTCTATTCTCCTGGGTTTCTTTGCAGCAAACCATGGGGCTGTCATCACCTCTGATGGGAGGGGAGCCTACAGCCTCCCAGAGCATCTCTTTTCCTTCCTCAGTGGCAGCCCCTCTACCCATAACCCTGCGTTTGGCAGAAGACCATAAACCAGATCAAGGTATCACCTCCTGCCTGCATGAAGATCAGAAAATTCCTCTCACTGCTGAGGACGAGGGTGTCCCACCCCATGCCTAATGGCTGAGCTGCAGCTCGTGGCCAGGCTCCTGCTCTGTGTAAGCCTGCGTGTCAGCTCATCATCCCAAAATGCCAGGGCCTGTTCTCATGGACTGCCCTGGCTGCACTCAGCTTCATCTGCCTCTGCAAAGAGCTGGACTGTGGAGGGAAATCTCTGGTGTGTCCTTTTTCCAACAGGTTTACACTCACGAGAATCAACTGCTCTTAACCCTCTGTCCTGAATGGGTTTTGCAGCATGCCTGAGCCCTGCGCCCTGTGTCTCAGGCTCACTGTATGTCTCATGCAGCTCCACCTGTGCCTGATGCTCTGAGACAGAGCCAGGCAGCTGTCTTGAGCCCAACAGTGGCTTTCCCTGAGCAAAATGCAGTAGCCAGGTGCCCTGGCTGCATGGTCTGAATGACTGTTTACTTCTCCATGCCCCAGATAGTTTGAGACCTCAGTATTTAACCAGAAAGCACTGAAGTCTCATAAGGAGATGCAGGAGGCTTGGATAGCCACAAATGGGCAAGGATCTGCCTGTCGTACTCTCCAGATATTCAGGCATTGCATCTACAGAGAGATACCAGAGTGACCACAAACTGCAGGGCTTGGGCACTGGAGCAGTCTAGACAGCAGAGAAGCCAATAGCACCATGTGGTCTGCCCAAAGTTAAGGGCTGCGGCTCATCTGGCTTTGCACAGCCTCACTCCCAGGTACCTTAAACAGCTTCGTCTTCCACTGCAGGCAGCGATACAGATTGACGTCCCCACTCACCAAAACTACCTCCTGCTTTTGGCAGTGAAAACATTGCCATCCCCAATCCTGGCCATTCCCTGCCCCAAACATGGGTTCTCCCCTGGTATTTCAGTGCCTCACACCAGCCCTGTCCCTGCCTCCAGCTCTTACCCTGTACTCCTTGCCTATGCTGTTTCACTCCCACTCCCCAGACCTCACTCTTGATCAGGAACAACTTAGAATTCATGCCTGGGTCTTCAGGAAATCAGGGAGCCTGAAATCATTTGGTCCCTTCTTCTGAGAAAACTGACAGCACTGCCATAAAAATGAAAAAGTCTTAAAATAATATGCAACGTGGAGAAACTGTGTGCCTCCAATGCCCATCACCTCTCCCTCCTGGCATTCCTGGCTGCACACACCCGCCTCATCAACCTTCTCCATGACCGTCTCCATGATTTATGGTCTTAATAACTGAGCCTGAATCCTGCCCCACCCCCGCCACGGGGCTTATAACGAGCCACCATTCAAACTCCTTGCGTAGCATATTCTGGTGCAGTCCAGCGCATCTCTTCAGAACAGCCCTGTTCCTTGCTCCTTGTCTTGGGAGGAGATGCCTTTCCTGGAGGAGACCTCTGGACAAGCCTTCCCCTTCCCTTTTCATAGGACACTTTCTGTTACCTTTTGACAGAAGTCAGCGTCAGCCTCCTGCATCAGCAGGGGTAAGGGACGTTTCTCAGTGTGGATGTACGTGAGCCTCCTCAACAGCACAGTGGCAAAACACCATCTCCCCCTACATGTTCCCACCAAAGGATAAGGTACAGAAGAAGGCAGGTGGTCCCTTACAGGTTGTTTAATGAGTGTCAACACAAGGGCCTGGGCACAGAGAAGGATGCAAGAGCTGGGAGACTCTGGAGATGACTGTGCAGGGTCTGAAATCTGAGGGTGGGAAGCCCACATGCTGAAAACTTTTGCAGGCACCACCCTAACACATGAGAATCTGTTCCCAGTCACAGAGGACCTCATAGAATCACAGGATAATAGAATTGTTTAGGTTGCAAAAGACCTTTAAGGTCATCAAGTCCAACTGTAAATCTAACACTGCCAAGTCCACCACTAAACCATGTCCCTAAGCATCACATCTACATGTCTTTTAAATACCTCCAGGGATGGTGACTCAACCACATTCTTCAGCATACTGTTTCAATGCTTAATAACCCTTTCAGTGAATAAATTTTTCCTAATGTCCAATCTATACATCCCCTGGCACAACTTGAGGCCACTTCCCCTTGTCCTACTGCTTGTTACTTGGGAGAAGAGACCAACACCCACTGCACTACAACCTCCTCTCAGGTAGTCTCAGGTAAAGAGTAGTAAGGTCTCCCCTGAGCCTCCTTTTCTCCAGGCTAAACAACCCCAGTTCCCTCAGCCACTCCTCATAAGACTTGTGCTCTAGACCCTTCACCAGCCTCGTTGTTGTTCTTTGGACACACTCCAGCACCTCAATGTCTTTCTTGTAGTGAGGGGCCCAAAACTGAACACAGTAATCAAGGTGAGGCCTCACCAGTGCCAAATACAGGGGAACAATCATTTCCCTAGTCCTGCTGGCCACACTATTTCTGATACAATCCAGGATGCTCTTGGCCTTCTTGGCCACCTGGGCACATTGCCATCTCATATTCAGCTGCCTGTCAACCAACACCCCCAGGTCCTTTTCCACCAGGCAGCTTTCCAGCCACTATTCCCCAAGCCTGTAGCACTGCATGGGGCTGTTGTGACAAGTCCAGGAGGTGGCACTTGGCCATGTTGAACCTCATACAATTGGCCTTGGACCATTGATCCAGCCTGTCCATATCCCTCTGTAGGGCCTTCCTTCCGTCAAGCAGATCAACACTCCCAGCCAACTTGGTGTCATCTGCAAACTTACCGAGGGTGCACTCCATCCCCTTGTCCAGATCATTGATAAAGATACTAAACAGAACTGGCCCCAATACTGAGCCCTGGGGAACAGCACCTGTAACCAGCTGCCAACTCCATTGACCACAACAGTTTGGGCCTGGACATCCAGCCAGTTTTTCACCAAGCAGAGTGCAGCTGTCCAAGCCAAGAGCAGATAGTTTCTCTAGGAAATTGTGTCAAAGGTTTTACTAAAGTCTAGGTAGACAACATCCGCAGCCTTTCCCTCATCCACTAAGTGGGTCACATTGTCACAGCAGACCATGTTAGTCAAGACCTGTCTTTCATAAACCCATGCTGACTGGGCCTGATGACCTGGTTGTTCTGTACATGACATGTGATGGCACTCAAGATGGCCTGCTCCATAACCTTCATCAGCACTGAGGTCAGACTGACAGGCCTGTACTTCCCCAGATGCTCCTTTCAGCCCTTCTTGTAGATGGGCATCAGATTTGCCAACCTCCAGTCAACTGGGATATCCCTGGTTAGCCAGGACTGCTGATAAATGTTTGAAAATGTCTTGGTGACCTCAGGACCATGTCTTCCAGGTTTCTTTTTCTATTACCTGTCCTACTCCAGGGCACTGGTACAGCCTTACTGACTCCCGGTCTCTGGCAAACTAAGCATCTCCTCTCCTGCTTGCACTCCAGAGCACATCACTCAGAAGCAGCTAAAAAGAGGTGAAAGACCCCAATTAGTCTCCAAAGAATCTGCTTGCAGTTTTGAGAGCTGCTCCAAGGTCTCCTGGCTCCTTGGAGGTAAGGCTAACCTCTTGGACTAATTGACAGCAAGGGAGATGCACAAGACAGTTCCCCCATCTCTGATCCAAACTGCTGCACTCCCGCCTGCCCCTGTAACACCACACTTCAGCTGTGCAACAGCAGCTCAGCAGCTGGTGCCCCTCCTGCCCTCCTTCCTGCAGATTAATGACTGTCTAATTATTCTTTATCTAGTGCTGACAAAGGTGGGGTCCTTTGCTCATTACAGAGGAGAGAGAGCAGAGGAAAGGCACAGGGGCATCCCCAGAGAAGAAGGAGCTAATGAGCCATCTTACTACAAGCATTTGCTTTGCTTGTAATACCTAGTAATAGGTATTGCCCTGGAGGCTGGCTCAGGAGGATGGGGCATGGAAAGGGGTGAGGATACAATTGGAAGCTCCAGAAGCTTCTGATTTTGACCAAGTATCATTTTCACAAAAGCCAAGTAGCCACCCAGATGGGCATGAGTGTTTTGCTGACCAACAGAATCAAAAAAGCCCTGGCCACTTCATGGGGGGGTTGATGAGTCCAGTCAGGAATCAATCCCTGAGGTAAGAAGCAGATGCATGTCAGTCTATGGTACAGACTATGAGCACCCATGCAGGGGGGGAAAGTACTGGGGGGGGGGTTCTGCCTGTCCTCTGTGAAGAAAACATGAGGTACAAAAGGGAGAAAAACTTCTCCCCAGTGCTAACCTTGGGGGCTCAAACAGGAGCAACGTCCCTTCCAATGGATGCTCCATGTTACCCAAACACTGGGTCACGGTGGGGGTCTCCTGTCCTCCTTAGTGTCCCCCACTCGAGGGGGATAGGTTATCCCCCAAACCACCCCATACACTGCTCCCCCAGGGATGCCGCAGGTCCTGGGCTTCCCAGGGGAGCAAGCCCTGTCTGCAGCACAGGAGGCAGCCAGCCAGCTCGAAACAGTTAACAGCTCTCCTCAGCTACCACATCATGATGGATGAGCCCTGCCCCATGGAAATGTCACTGTCTGAACAGAGCGTGAGCTCATTCCCTTCCACCTCCCATCTCAGCACACAGCCAGCCGGGTTGAACAGCCCCCTGTCCTCGCCAAGGGGGCAGCCTGGCCTGGCCTCCCACCTTTTGATGATGATGTTGAGGTATGAGAGGCAAAAGGAGTCATGAGTTTTCAGGATGTAATCCCATTCATCCCAAAGCCTGCTAATTAACAGAAGAGGGGCTCCCCTCCTCTGCCAAGGAGAGGAGGAAATGTAAATGGATGAGGGATGGTCTGGTCAAGAATTCAACCTTGTTATCTAATTTGAAAAATGGGCAAATGAGGTAATTATGGTGAGATATCGATTCATAGCAACATGCTCCATGAATGCCATAGTAATAACTCTCAGCGCTGCCACACAGCTCCCCCAGCCCCTCTTCAGCTGCAGAAGGCAAGTTCAGGCTTTTCATTTTAGCCTGTACATGTTTGACAGATGGAGCCAGCAAGTGTAGGCAGGGACAAGGCCACCTTTTGACCCCAGGATGCGCCTAAGACTGCTGGCCCCCAATGGAAAAACCTCTTTATGAGCTCTGATGGTCTGCATATCTCGTGTCTGTCTTCAGTCAGGTCCAGTTAAGGCAGCAAGTGGGGAAAGGGAGTCATGTTGGTGGAAAGGGTCAGGAGGCAAGAGAGAGGCTTCACTAACACCACTGAAGGTTTCCAGTAAGGGATAGTCTGGACTTTATCTCAACATTGCTGCTTCACGACTACCACTTCTTGGCCTCAGCATCCTGTTACTGTGAAGGAGGACGCTTTGGATGAGACGAATAGTCCCCGACAAAACCACAACTTCCACCCGAAGCTAGAACAACAGCAGCCTTGGCAGTGCCCACCAAGCTGCACCTGCGCACGAGCCGGGTGAAGAGGAAATCACGGCGAGGAAGACGTGCAGAGGCTGAAGGCATCACAGGTCGACCCCCCCACCAGCACGACCACTGTGAACACATGGGCATGTGAGCATGGAGGACCACAGGGAGGCACATATTACAGTGAGCTCCGTGGAAATGGGCAGACTTTTCGGAGAAGTCGTGGGGACGGGGACAATAAAAGGACTGCGTACTCCTCTCTCGGGATGCTTGTTGCTGGTTGATGCTTGTTAATGCTTTTTAACAGACGCCTGGGACTTTGGCAGAGCTTGGAGCATAGAACATCATCACCTGTACCGAGATTGAGCCGACAAAACATCGCTGGATCCCTGGTGGTGGTGGTAATTAGTTGCGTCTCTACCGCTTTCTTGCTTTGGGACTCTGACTTTTTCCTTTCTTTTTCTCTCTGTCCTATCGCTCTTATCAGTTGTTATAGAAAATAAAGTTTACAAGGTCGTACGGCAACTGACCTTGTTTGTGTCTTAATCTCGCTCTTGGGATTGTTTAAGAACCCTCCCTGATATCGGATTGGGACATTTCCTCAATGGCTTTGACCAAACCACTCAACTGTATCCTGTCCAATAAGGGCCTGAGCCCTTTCCCACTGCAACATGAACATTTTAAGCTTTTGTTCTGCATCTGGAGTCAACCATCTCCACAACTGTGGATAGCTGCCTTTTAGGAAGTTGCCTGCTACTGGTAGTGCCCAGATAAGTTCCTAGTAGGCTTCTTAAAGATGTACATAGAGATAGGTTTCCCTATCAAATTTCCATTTCAATCTGTATACTTTTTATGTGTTGTACACACTATAGCATATAGTCTGCACTGTGACCCATAGCTGTGTGAACCTGTAACATAAACCTCTGATCTTTGGTTTGCTGACATAAAAGCCAATGTGAACATCAGTTATAGTCAGATGAAGGTAGCAGATCCCAAATATTCTCCACACTCTCAGGTCAGACCAGCCACCCTTGTCTGGCCCATGAATTTCCCACTGCAATTGGTGATAAACCAGCCTGTGTGCCCAAGAGTGAGGGGAGATAGCTGGGCTCCACTCATGTAAGTCTGTTTCCCAAAGCAGGTCTGCATCTGCGGCACCTCCAAATGGTGCTGGGATCCACACAAGGGGAGTCAGAGCCCCCGGGAACATACTGCCGAACACGAGGCTGAGCCTGCTCAGATCTGCCCTCAAGGTGCTTGAGAGTCTGTGTTCTTCACATTGCAGTCACATCAGGAAGGTGCAACAGGTACCCCCTCTACACTCCTTGAGATGCCAGAGGCTTCTCCCGGCAGTTGCTGCAGCTTTTTCCTTCCCAACCAATGACTTGGGAAATTCATGCTGTCAGAGGAGAACAGTCACAGCTCAGCTACTTACCCCCATTTCAGCACGTGTAAAGAGGGTGATCATTACAATCCACTCCCTCCCTGGGGACATAAAGAGTCAATGAATAAGTCATAAAAAGGAGTGCTTTGAGATCCTTGGGTAGAAAGTATTCCAGGGCTGTTATTGTTATTGGTAATGGCACATACTTATTCCACTTATTGGCACTTCAAGCTACATTAAAGTCATTCCCTAGATGCAGGAGACTTCACACAAAATATATGACCTTCTGTTCCAAAAACACAGGCACCTGCCATTTGTACTGAAGCAAATATTACTTGTCTTCCTTTTTCCAGGCTCCTTCACAGACAAGGTCTTGCATTCCCATTTTTCAGCAGCACCTCAGCTTCATCCTGCCCCTCCAAAGAGTCCTAATCCCATTTCCATGGCCAAATATGAAAGCCTTTACCCCTTCCCCAGCCTCCCAGTTTTCTCCAATGCATCCAATCCTCTGTTACACTCTCCTTCTCCAGGCAGTGTTCCCTCAGTCTTTGCCCTGTGCATGTGTCTCCTGATTTTTCTGCTTGCTTCCTCAGTAGCTCTTTATCACATATTCCTATACCCTATCTCTCCATGCCTTCTTCTTCTGCAGAGAATGTGGAAATCTCTGAGTTATTTCATGACTCAGTTTCCCCACTCCTTTGTACCACCACCCAACAGGATACAGTGGGAAAGGGAATTAATTTCCCAAGACAATAAGTAAGTAGGAATGTCTCAGGTTTTGTTAGCACAGGAGTAAGGTTACCTTGCAGCTGTAATAGAAGATCATCATCATGACCGTTAAGTTCAAACAACTGCCAGAAGGAGGTGAAAGATGTAGGACATGGGAAGATAGCACGCCTGGTACCTGGAGGCAGTCTAGGTTGCTCAGGGAAGGTGCTGCAAACAGATAAACTGTATGCCGATTGTGCTTTGCTGCTCTGGCATCATGCCCTTCAAAGGAACAGATAAAAGAGGTTATCATTCAAAAGGGCTGTGCTGTTGCACAGCAAACTTACTGAGAGGGCAAGTCCTGAAGGGTCCAAGCTGGTCTGATCTCACCAAAAGTCACTGCAAGAAAGCAGATGGATGCACTCCTCCATTGCCCACACTCGTCCTCCAATGCAGTCTGCCCTGGTGATCTCATCTCAGATGTCCTCCTTCCCAGGCCTCAGACCCGTGGACCCATAGACAGGCCTGTGCGCATTTGCTGTCCAGCTGTGCACACGTATGGCCACTGTAATGTCTTTTCCTGGTTGTCTTACTGCCAGGTGAACCTCAACACAGCCTTAGCAAACTGCTTAGTGTGGACTACCAGCCTTCCTACTCACAGCCTCTTGTCACCAAGAGGCATGTCCCTTTCCCTACCCCACACAGGCATGTGGCACATGGGTGTAGCTGTGGCCTCGACCCCTTCATTGTCCCCATCATCCAGGTCCCAGCTCCCCCAGACTTGTCATCCCCTCCTGAGGAAAGAACCACAGTTCTCCAGTTGGCCAGCACAAGCTCTCCCTATTAGGTTCCTGCAAGCCTATTGCCACCAGGAGATGATTTCTCCTCCCTGATAGTTCTCCTGTGGGCCATGCCCTGATTTCTATGCAGGGACATGTCAGAAAACTCACCTAGATCTCCATCTCTTACTCTCAGGGCTTTCTTGGGTTACAGGCTGGGGGGAGACATCTCATCTCTCTTTGGCTGTTTGTAATTTAGATATTTAATCTTGGATGGCCACCAAGGTGCTCTGTCTTGATGGAGAAAGAGAGGAATTGCAGTGGCAATTGGCCTCACCTCTCTTAAATATCTATTCAGAGGGAATGAACCCCCTTTTTCTCCACTGACTACAGCAGGAGTGCAAGGAGCTGGTCTGGCTTCTGGATGGCTGCTGCAAGGGGTGAGGACCCCACTCCTGGCACCAAACCTCGCAAATACAGCCTGCAGAGTAATTCCACCCCTACCCCCCAGGAAAATTAAACTACCAAAGGGAAAAGGCTGGGAAATGGTTTCCTCAACACATCCTTATGAGGGTGAGCACAAATGTTACCAGGTTGTGCTCAAACATCTCTTCAAGATCTTTAGACACTGGCTGATGTCTGCTATTTGGAACTAAACTTCTAAATACTGATTAAAAACTACTCACTGACAGAGAAAATATTTGTTAGTTTACTCCAAGTTTATTAGCTGTTAGACCTAATTAAAAGTTCCAATGCGTGGTAAATGCTTCTTTAATTACAGTGAGACAGGAACATTAGAATTGTGGTTTTGTAGAGAAAGTACATCTAATTAGCCTGGTATATTTAGGGCACTATTTCTATCTATTTGAAATACGTTGCACTACATGTTGCTTATTCCAGTCAGAGCTTTACAGAAATGTGTTCCAATCAAAAAACTAATTTTTTTTAATTTCCTCCTACATTTTTTTTCAATATTTAATTTATTCTTAATGAAAGAAACTAGACTGAGAGTCCCCAGAGGATGAATTCCCTTGTTTATGCACAGAACAGATAACAGGCACTGCATGGATCAGTACTGGGATCTTTGTTAGGAGCAACTGGGGAGCTACAAATCCATCATTCAGTCCTCCATCTCAGCATGTGCATCACCAACAGTGAAGGCCAGTTTTTAGGGTGTGGGCACTTATTCTGTTACACTGAGATGATCTTACTCAATTTACTCATCTAAACACATTTCTTCACAGTTGTATTGCCACTGGCACAATCCTGCCCTTCTCCCATCTCTCCCAAATGCCTTTTCTGACTTCCAGAGTATCCCAGCTCAAAATCCTCTGTTGGCTCCACAAAGCTAATAGAACATTTCATCTCAGTTTCATTAGACCCGAGCTCTGCTTCGAACTCTTTGCATAGAAACAACCTTGGGGAGCAGCAGTTTAGAGTTGGCTGGTGTAGTTCTTGTGCTGTGGATTCATATTGTGTGTTCAGTGCAATTATCCTAGCTCCAAGCTGCAATTTTTTAATTTTTTTTTTTTTTTT